AATACTTGCCCACCTGATTTTCTGTTGTACAAATAGGTGGACAACTTCAAAGTTAATCGATTTTCACTTCAGAAATCAGGTTACTGACTTGCTAGACACTCCAACATGGTTTTCGGCTTTACATTTTTTACATTTAATTTAAACATATTTACACATAGTAGCTACGGAAAAGCACCGGGACATATACGTTGGGGAATCGTATCATTGTATTGCTGACTTTCATGGATCATGGGAGATTTCTAGACATTAAAACTCGACTTTTAACTTTTAACTTTAAACTTTCCCGCCTTCGAAACGCGACCGCCAAAGAGCCAGAGAGTCTTATCACAAATTCCTAACACCAAATCACCTTCGGCTACCAACCTATCACCTTCATTATAATTCGACTATGTCTCCAAAATAAGGTACTCAATTACAAGTAACACTGGGGGGTCCGGGGATCAGGCCGGATCAAAAAACCCAGCCCGAGGCGAAACGACAAAGATGTATCACCGCCCACACAGTCTTTCCGCCGTAGGCGGGATGACCAACGCCAGAATCTAGTTATATTATAAAATATAAATTATAAATTATTATTATTCACCTTGCGCCAATCATTACCTGGGTATCGTCCATAGATCCGTAGTGCAGGTATTATTATTATCGCGTATACGCGCCGCCCGCTATTATAACGTTATCTATTTCAGAGCTCATTAGTCTCGACAGTCGTTGAGTTGATATCTCCGGTATATCAGCTGTACCTATTATAGATTATAGTTACGTAACAACTAATAGCATCGGTCGCTGTGATATAAACAATATTGGTACAATGTTCGACGAGAACGAGCTCGTCCGCCTTACACGGTTGCTGAACCGCAGCGGGACTGTTTCGTCACACAAATTCGGCGAATTCACGACACGCTAGGAGGTTTCTATCCAGGCGAACTTTGCGCCCCGTATTATTATTCTTTACGCGCGCTAGATTTGTTATGGTCGAAATTCGTGTCCGCTGATTCGGACGTCTCTCACTGTTTGTCCTTGCTTAACCGGGCAGATGAGTGTTCGCCCGCCTTACGTATTGCGGTGCGTGAGTTAATCGACGTAGCCAAAGTAGGTATGGCCCAATTATGTAGTACGCGTGTGAAAGTTCCGACTGAGCCTATGCCGTTGAATCCCTCGCGTAGTGGTCGTAACGAGCATCCGACGACTCGGCAATTAGTTTCGTTATCGCCAAGGGCTATCACCGTTCGAGGTAGTCGTTATCCAAGTGGATGCTTTTCGAAATTGTTATCGTCCTATAATACGTCAGCGATCGATACCTCGTCAGCCGTATCCGGTAAAATAGTCGCACAATCGTTAGATCGCGTTTTCGTGTCCGATTATAGTTTTGTGACTCACACTATGCCGGTGACCAAGTTGATCTCGGTGCTCGGGCCCATAGCAGTATCGCCGACTTTCGTAAGGCCTTTTAAATCTAATACGTTGGAGGACGGGTTCCCTCCTGAGGTCTTTCGTGTCAAGCGCAGTGTCAGTATAACAAATAATTCGTCATTGTCATCGACCTGTTTTCGAGGTCCGGCCGTGTCGGCGCCGCCGCCGGTGTCGTATACACCGCAGCCGGTTTCCCCCCTTCACTCCGTTGTTGTGCGGGTGTGTTGTCAGTCCGTTTTGTTTGCACGGAATACGGAACGCCGTCGTATTACGCGTCCGTCGTTATTGGTCTGTGTACCAGCGCGCAGCCGTCTGCGATACGTGCGTTCGCCGCGTTTATCACGTCCGTGGGCAGACGTGACTATTATCGTGTTTCGGGTAAGCGGCCCTCACGAATCTTTCCATAAATATGTATTCAGCTGCGTGCTCAACATCCGTACAGGGTTAACGGATTGTTATTGGCAGCACGTTAAATCGCTAAATCATTTCCCCGTCAATTATTACGCGTCTTATGACGTAAATTCGTTTGTCCGAGCGCGAACGGTTATGCATTGGCGTGGTCCACAGGTAGCATTCGGAAAACCGTCGGAATGGGACGACGTACTACCGTCGCTAGCCTTGTGTGACCTACCTAAAATACGGAGTTCGTGTATCGCGCGTATTTTCGTTAGGACTAACAAATTGTTTACGCGCATTTATAATTATTGTGACCGCATGTTGCGCACTGGTGTTTATATTATGCGCCGTACGACTGCCGTCTGTTGTCGACGTAATTGTGATCCGTCGGTTCTTCTTGCCGTTCGCGGAGCTTGGGTACCGTATGCACCTCCAAGTAATTTGTTGCCGTATGCAGTTTATCACGGAGGCGGTCGAGTGCGACGTTCTATTTCGTATTGGCGCGTACATACATTGTTATTATCGTCTGTATCCCGTGTCGCGCTGTTAGTCGTATCTCCGATTCTCGTACGGCCGTGTAGTCATGACTTGGTTAGGGACGTTCTCTCTCCCGATGGTATTTGTGCAGCCCTTGCTGTCAGTGGAACCACTAAGTGGTCAGGGACCCGCGTTCAAGCTCCGGCCATGTTAAAAGCGCGTGTGCACAACTCCGTCGTCGTTCTCATGTCATCCCGTGGTGCGCCGTCGACCTGCAGTGTTTGTACGAGTTACGAAACGCCGTCGCGTAGCACTTCCGTTGTTATCGGTACGTGTACCTGCGCGCTTCCGTCTTTGGTACGTGCCGTCGCCGCCAAAATTATATTTGCGGGCAAACGTACTGAGTGGTGCTTGTCCACGGTGGCATTATTACCCGCCAATAACTTAAAAATAATATATGTTGTCGCGTCCCTCTGTGTCACCTATAAGCACTGTGCTCCGTGACATGACGCGTCCATCTCACCGACCCTACCCTCTGTAAATTTAGTGTAGCATTTTGTCATACACAATGCGTGGGTGGAGATCGGGTGATCGACTGTTTATATTTTTATATTGATATTATTTATTTTGTGTATAGATATTGTAATTATACGAACCGTATCACGTTCATTTATTATTGTAAATTATAATCCATTTTGTTATTATTATTTATACTGGTTCGTGTATTATTATTAGTATTGTTATGTTCTGGTGTGTATACAAGTGCACCATTCAGGCTTGACGCTTCGTATAACGTTACCTTCTTGTACCGTCATTACGCCGTAATCGTTTACCTATTTATACTTATGTTTTGTTTATTGAATTATCTGGTTGCGATTTATATTGTTGTAAAAAAATATTATACTCCATGGGTAATCACAGCACATATGCTTCCCGTACCCCAACCTAAACCACTTATTTATCTAACTGGCGTCCTACTTAGCTGTACGGTCTAATCTGTCAGTGGCGTAGCCTGGGTTTATGACGGGGGGAGTCCTCAATTATTGTATTTTTTTTCATTTGCAATGATCAATTATGTTATTATGTCAAATTATTATTCGCCTTACCTGTTGTGGTTTGCGTTATTTGTCTTTTGTATTATTATGTTGCACTATTATAATGTAGTTTGTATAATTATTATTTGGACTACAACTTTTGTTTAGTCGTGTCGATTTATTTCTTTCGTATTATTTATTCGTGACCCTATTGTCACTTGTTAACGTGCTTAACGTTACTTATTATTCTTAATTTATTGTGTCCCTTCTCATATTCTGGTACAATTGTTATTTTTATGAAATGTTTAATTTGTTCATGTTTTATTTACACTTATATTTTTTTTTTACACACAAAATACTAGATTTTCAAGTACAGTGGTGAGTGGCACCTAGGAATACTATTTCATCAAAAATCCTTAAATTAATTTATAGGTACACAAAATGTATTAATAAATGTTGCTTAAAATGTCTACACAATTTAGTACCTATACAATAGTATAATAAATTCATCAAAATGTAAATATTGAATAAATTAAAATTAAATTTTACTTTTAATGTAATAATAGTTATTAAAATATTTATTTTATTTTATTTGTAATATAATGTACATAGCTATTTATTTGTACTGTTTGATTTATTATATAGGCTCTAGGGGGATCTATCCCCCTCATCACCCCCTTAATTACGCCCCTGATGAGCTGATTTAACCAAAACAGAATTATAAGACTAGATTAAATAGTAATTGTAATTTTAGTACTAATTCTTTTAATATTTTTAGTGTGGTAGGTAGTTTAAATTATTAAATGTTGGTATACTTAAAAATATAATATAAACATTGAATTGAACTTACTGTTAATCTAACTTCATTAAATACAAGAATTATAATAGTAATATAATATAATAAATAAAGATTAAATACCTATAACGTAATATATCCATATATATACATTGTAATTAAAAACTGTCAATTATATCATGGTTGCATATTCTAAAAAAATAGTTTGTAAACATTTGTTTTATACAACTGTTTATAAGACTTTAAAAATAAGATAAAAATTAAAAACTATGTTTGAATAAAATACTATAATAATTTATTTTATGGTTTAACACCTATTATAGGTTATCAATTTTTTTTTTTTAATTTTCCCATTCAACTAATTGTATCTTATATAATATATATAGATGTTTATAATTAGAATAAATATTGGACAAGCAAATCTTGAGTCTTAAATTTTAAATAACCTTTATATTAATTGGTAATTACATACAAACAACAAATTGACAAGAGTTAATAATTGTAACAAATGTATACATCATTTCATACATGAATCGTTTTATTCATTCATATTTTATTATAATACACATGAATAATATTCTTTAAATTAACATCATGTTTTAAAAAAGCAATGATAACTCATTTAACTTATAGTATTTTTACATCACTATGTATTATTTAAGCATCAATATTCTATACTGCCAATTGTATGTAATGTTTTTATTTTGAATCTTCACAGAAGAACATTGTTACAAAGATAAAATAGTTAAATATGTAAGTTGGACAAAGGTCGCTACATCATGCATTGATGATTTTCATACATATAATGAAGCAGTAAAAAAAAACAAAAGTACGTAATGGTATTTATACTATGCCAAAATTATTATACAATTTTTTTATAAAATTTATCACATGGCCAATACTTTGTTTTGCCAACTTAAGGCATTTTCAGGAGTATTAAAATATTTTACAAAATATTCCCTCAACTCTTTTGCATTTGTAGAAGCATTTCCTACTCCTCTTCTTTCTGATTCTTCTTCCATTCTACAACTCATAGAATCCTCTGTAATATATCCATCCCTGCGGCGAACAAAATTGTGTAACACACAGGCTGCTTTTGTTATAGCTATAGCAACATTGGGAGAAGCTAAAATTGGGGTATGAAAAACTCTCCATTTATTGGACAGAATTCCAAATGTACACTCAATATGTTGTCTTGCTCTGGACAAGCGATAGTTAAATATACGTCTTTCATTATTCAAACTTTTTCCTGGAAAGGGTCTTAACAAATGTTTGTTTAAAGCAAACGCTTCGTCACCAACTATGACATATGGGCAAGGCTGTGGTACACGTTCTGTATCATTTGGTAAACATGTGTCTGGAGGGAAATTAACTTGACCAGAGTAGAGTTTCTTACCAAATGCTGATTGTTTGAAAATATTGCAATCACTTTCTTTCCCAAACGATCCAACATCAATAATTGTGAAGCAATAGTTAGAATCACATATACCAAGAAGAATTAATGAAAAAAACTGCTTATAATTGAAATATTGAGTTCCACTACTTTTAGGACACTCTAATCTCACATGTTTCCCATCAACAGCACCGACCAAATTGGGGAATTGGGTTTTGGTATAAAATCCTTCAGCAATATCTAACCAATCCTGAATTGATGGAACAGGCATTTCACTTGGTTGTAATACTTCCCAGATAACTTCACAAGTTTCTTTAACAATTTTTGCGATTGTTGAAACTCCCATTAAAAAATCAAAATGTAACGCCGAATAGTTTGTTCCAGTAGCCAAATACCTTTAAATAAAATTAATATCATAAAATACACATTGTTACGTAGGCTGATAGACTGTCTTTGCTCAGAATCATTTTTACAATGATTTTATATCATTGAATTCAAATTTAACAAATTCAAAACATTGACCCCACTCGACACCCACTGTACAGCAGAGCAGTACCCACTTGCCGACCTTTTTTCTATTTAAATATTATAATTTTTAGTCTACTCTTCAAGACATCATTCACCATTTCTTATCCCTACATACTTCATCTCTTATGGTAATAACCATCCACCGCATGCTTCATTGTGTCAATAATGCCATGTGCCCATGTAGATCTTTTTGTGTCCACCTGCTCCATTTTCTATCTGTTTATATACAACTATATTTTAACACTACATTCTGTTTGTAAATATTCTAGTTTTAAGCTGTTATATTTAATTTTAATTCTGTTATCACTCACTAATTTATGTACTTCACATACATTCTGTAAATTGCTGTTTGGCGTATATTAAATAAAATAAATAAATAAATAAATAATTTGAAATGTATAATAAATTATATAGTTCTTTGTTATAATTTTTGTTCATAGTTCTTGAACTCCAAAAAAAATGGAAATCTCTTAGAGATTGTTTCCGTAGGAAATGTGTCACCAAGTCAGGGCAGGCAGCACAAAAAAATCACAAATATATTTATGCAGATATAATGGAATTTTTGAGGCCTACTATGTTAAATCGAACGTATGTTACTCAGTATGCAAACAAATCATAAAATGTATATTATAAAAATGTTATTGTTTTAGAACGGAAAGTAATTTTGAACACAGTGATGGGGACGGAAACGAGGAAGAAGAAGAGAACAATGAAACTGAAGTTTCAAATAACATAGAAACGGAGCATCAAGATGATACGTATACGAATACACCTAAACGTAAGAAACTTATCAACAAAAAGCCAGCAGATTTTGAAACCCGTTTGATAAATATTTTCGAACAACGTAAGACAGAAGAAGACCCTGAAAAACATTTTTTGCTGTCTCTTTTACCTCAAATTAGATTGTTAACAGAAGACCAAAAAACACAGCTTTACATTGACATTCTAAACAGCATCCAAAGATTAAAAGGTTCTTCAAATGCATCATCATTTAACCAAACACCAATTGCTAATGACTATTCAACTCAGAGCCATCATAATATTTACAATGTTCCCCCTCACTATCCATCACAAACCGATTCCATTCCAACTTTAAACCACCATTATAAAGTAAATACACAATCTCCAATATCAGTCGCCCATGTTAATAAAATAAATCCCTATAGTTCATCTGGCATTCATTCTACATCCCAAATTGTTTCAGTTCCAATCGAAAATTCTTATTACAGTCCAAATTCACAATCGCCATCTGTATCCAGCACTCTTTCAAACATAAACTATCAAAATACTTTCAACATTCCAACAAAATATTCATCTCCTTCTACTTCTATCCCAACTAGCCACCATTATAAGCTTAATACCCCATCAGAGTCTCCAACACAAGCCACACATGTTAACAAAATAAATCATTATAATTCATCTGCCCTTCAAGAATTGTCTACATCTCAAACTGCTTCTATTCCCACTGAAAATGTTTATTACAATTCTAATTCTCAATCCCCACAGTAAAAATTCAACTAATTTAATAGCAAGTTGCAATTTAAAAATATAATACAATACAGACAGGATTAATATTGTATTTAGTTTAATGTTACATTTATTTTTATTTTTATTTGTACTGAATTTTATTGAAAATTCATATAGAAAAAGAAAATTTGATATTTAGTTTTATGGTTTTGAAATCTTTTTTTAATTTGTTTTTATTTAATATTTTGTAACTAAACAAGTTGTTTAATAAAGATTTTTACCTTAACGTCACAGTAAGTCTTTCTTCTGCTGGAATTGGTAAACGCAAACAGGTAACTTGTTTTTGAAGTTTGAGGTTAACTAAAGAAATCTTTAAAAATATTTTTGAATTATTTTATTAGAATAATTAAAATAAATAAATGTTTGAAATATTTTTTTTTACCACATTTTTATGCATCTGGGAAATATTTTAACCAGGGGGGCCAATTGGTAAACATTTTTTTCTATATTTTGTTATAGAATTTTTCTTTTAAAATTAAACATAATTATATAGGTATAATAAAGTGAATTCAAATTTTTTTTATCAAATTGTTTAACTATTAAATGTGAAAATGTGTAGGTATTAAGATATTTCAAAAATGCAATATATGTCTTCAGGCCAAGACCAAAGAATCAAAAATAACTTGGCTAATCATAAATGGAAATTGCAAGAGTGTGCGAGTACACAACCTGCCCCCTCCAAATATCACCCCTGATTTTTAAATTTGAAATTAATTTACTTACCAGCTCATCAAACGATTTAATCGACATTCTGTAGTATTAAAAAAATTCTTCTGGGTAACTCCTCAAAGTCATAAAATTTGTTTGAAATTGACCCTCGGTTGGCCTTTTTAAATTTAATGGATGTACCCAGTGTCGTCTTGGACCATTTTTTGACTTTTTTTGGTGCCTTTTATATAACACATAAATAATTGACATGGCTTCTTCGTCGTTCAATAAATCCATGGCAATTTGAAAATTTAAATATTTTTAAAGAACAGAATAGGTACTAATGATGTGCCACGTATGGTGTGTAATGATGTACTAAGGGATATCAAGTCTCAAGTGCAATGACATATGAAACTAAAATTTGAAAACTAAATTTTGAAAAACGTGGACGCACGCGTCCAAAACGCTCAGTGTGTACGTAATCTGCGCGAGCGTTCAAAACGCAGCGTTTTTATAAAACGCTGACCCGCGCGTTTAAAACGTCTATAGTCCGCGCAACGAAAACTGGCCGGTTACCCCCGAAACTCGCCCGCCATGAACGTGCCGCTAGCCGCGGGTTCTCAAACTACGCGTCGCCGCTGCGATGTTATACAATAGGCGCACGCGGTGTGTTGTTTTAATAACCACTTATTGAAAATTGCCACTAGAGTCGCACCAGTCACCGGCCAGTTTTCGTTGCGCGGACTATAGTGTGTAAGGCACTTTAGCGACGAGTTCGCTTCCATTGCGACCACCTCGTGGTCGTTATAGATCGTATACCCGCGAAGTTATAAACGTTAGGTACGGTGTGTTAGCCGACGGTCGTGTCCGCCACCGTGCTTGCGTTTCGCTATTATCATCATTCGTCTTCGACGTCGTTCCGATCATCATCGACCTGTTTTCCGTTGTGCGACTGCTATTCATTGTCGCGTGTTCGCCGCCGACATTCGCGCCCGTTGTTATTACTTCGTGTCGGATCATCAGTTGTCGTCTGATTCCGACGGGCCATAATTCGTGCCGCGACCAGCAAGTCGGATATCGTTCGCCGTTGCTATTACCCTTGTGTGCGTACTGCGTAAGTCTCTCGTGCGACGCCGCCTTCATTGCCGTGATTACGTCACCGTGCGTCTTACAGAATCCGGTCGGAGCCGCCGTCAATAGCCGCCGCCGTCCCCCCGTTCACCTGCGTGTCATCACCATCGTCGCCGCCGATACACCACCCCACCGCGGCGCATGTGCCGTACGGTATTTAATTATTATTGTCATTTGTCATTGTCATTTATTATTACCTATTCACACATGTACGTTCGTGTTGCAATAGATACCCATTATTATTATTACCACAACATTGGCGTTCTATTATTTATATCGGTCACCCTATCCACCCCAACTCGTGAACACCATTTTCTTTTATTTAAGTAGTTGCCCGGCCAAATGCTTGTGAATAGCCGGCAGCCCAAACACCCATGTATCGAAAAAATAACTTTTAGTATTTTAATTATATGACTTGAAGTTTTAGAGGATAAATAATTTAACTCAAGCCAACCAGAATAGTAATCAACTAATACTAGGTAAGTATCTTTCCCATAATCCAAAATATCACACGCAACTTTCTCAAAAGGTAGATTAGGAACTTCTTGACAAATCATAGGGTCTTTAATATTCTCACTCCTAAACTTATTACATACTGCACAACTACCAATATATTCCTCGATATCTTTATCTAAACCTTTCCAATAAAATAAGGAACGTGCTCTCGTTTTAGTCTTACAAATTCCTAGATGAGTTTCGTGTAGTTTAAATACAATTTTATTCTGTAACTTCATAGGAACAAACACACGATTATTAAGAAAAAGTAAATCGTCTTCAAATGATATTTGGTAACGCATATTAAAGTATGGTTTAAGCTCACGTGAGACTTTATTGTTATGCTTAGGCCAGCCATTCTTGCACACATATACTAATTGTTTTAATAAATCATCTTTAATTGTTTCTTGTACAAACTCATTTCGAATATTTGTAGACATATTAATTGAATGAACTACATCGGAAACATCGATATCAACGTCGTCGTTATCTCGAGACGATATACACGCACGACTTAATGCATCTGCGATATTAGCAGATTTTTTTTTCCCGGTACATGTATAAGATTAATATCATATCGTGATAATTTGACCTTAATGCATTGAAACCTTTTAGACGGAATGTCATTTATGTTCTTTTTCATTAGCGAAATCAAAGGAAGGTGATCGGTTTGAACTGTCACGTGCCTACCATAAATATAATGATGAAATACCTTACAGGCAAATAAGACTGACAGAAATTCCTTATCAACCTGTCCGTAGTTAATTTCGGTTTCAGATAAGCTTTTCGATTTAAAACAAACTGGTCTGCCTTCTTGTAACAAAACACATCCAATGGCAAACTTACTACTATCAGTCTGTATGATCACGTCTTTTGTGTTATCATAGTTTCTAAGTACGGACTAGGGACTAGCAATTAATGTTTTAAGTTTATTTACAGACTCATTATGTATTGATGTCCATACAAACTCATTATTTTTTTTAAGAAGATCTCTTAGTGGCTTAGTCAACACTCAACATTGCCAGGTTAGGAATAAAATTTCCGACATAATTAACCATACCTAAAAACCTTTGCAAATCTTTTATAGTTTTTGGTACTTCGTACTCGAAAATAGATTTAATACGATCACTATCTGGTTTCATGCCTTCATATGAAAATGTATGGCCTAGGTAATTAACTTTATCTACCTTATATTGAATTTTATTTTTATTAAATTTAATATTATTTTTCATAGCCAAATCTAAAACCTGTTTTAATGCACAATCATGTTGAGCCTCAGTGTCACCAAAAACTAAAATATCATCAAGATATATGAACACATTTTCAATACCTCCGAACACTTTCATATTCCATTTTTGACATATTTCAGCTGCATTATTTATTCCAAAGGGAAGTCTATTGAAACAAAAAGTACCAAACATAGTACCAAACGTGCATAATTTAGAACTTTCTAAATCTAATTTTATTTGCCAAAAACCATCTTTCAAATCAAAAACAGAAAAAACCCTTGCATTTTTCAGTTTTGACGATAAATCTGATAACGTAGGTATTACACAATATTCACGAATTAAATTTTCATTTAGATCGCGTGGATCTAGACATAATCTCATACTTCCATTTTTCTTTTCAACAATCACTAATCTGTTTACCCACTCGGTCGGCTCATTTATTTATCTAATTATTTTTTCTGAGACTAATCGATCTAATTCACATTTCAGCTTATCTTGGATATTAATAGGAACTCTATGTGGAACATTTGTAACAGGTATTGCATTGGGCTTTAATTGTATGCTATATTCGTCAGGAAAGTTACCAAGACCTGTAAAAACCGTGCAATAGTTCTGAAGTACATCATTAAGACTTAATATCTTATCAACATTTTCTACTTTATTTATTAGCCCTAACTGTATACAGCTATGTAGACCTAAAATCGGCTTGCAATGATTTTCAACAATTACAAAATTTAAAATATATTCTTTTTCTCTTAATTTTACTTTTAAATCAACTGTAAAATATGTATTAATATTACTACCGCCATATGCCTGTAAATTTATCGGTCGTCTGTTAACTACTAAATTTTTAAAAGAACAATTATTTTTAATTAAGTTAAAATCATTTAAAGTCAATAGATTAACATCAGAGCCAGTATCTAGCTTAAAATTAATACTTTTATTTTCAACGAGAATAGTCTCAGACCAGGAAACAGCAAAAGTATTCATTGTATATACCGTAGAACAAAAATAATTATTAATACTCAGCCCATCAACGTTTTCAACAAATGAAATCTCAGATTTACAAACATTTTGAAAATGATTAAATTTGTTACATTTTAAACATTTTTTACCATACGCAGGGCATTTGCCTTTACCGTGCATAAAATTACAATATTTACATAATTTATCAGACCGATTACAATTATTATTCGTTTTTTTATTATTTACAGAAATGTTACCTTTATTTTTGACAACCTGTTGTGCCTCCTCCTGTTGGTTATATCCTTTTGCCTGTCGTTGATTTGTTTGACATTGACCACGATGTCCATTGTTACCGTTGTTCTGAGTGTAGTGATGTTGAGCTTGAATTGTTCGCTTACCACCACGTACTTTTGAATGAACTGCATTTACTTCATTCTGTTTTTCACCAATCTCCTTCATTTGATTGAGTTCTCTTCGTTGGATTTCAGCAATACGAAGGGTATCTATTGCAGTTTCAAGAGTAACACCAGCTTGTTTAATTAACTTGTCGCGAGTTTCACCATCTCTCGTGTCAAGAACAATTTTGTCACGTAAAATTTCTTCATGAGATTTAAATTCACAATCTTTGATCAAACCACGACACGCTGACAGAAACTTCTCAATCGATTCATTTTCTTTTTGAGACCGTTTATAAAATATATACCTGGAGTGTAAAATATTTTTTTTTGGTTTGCAATAATCTTGAAACGCGTTAAGCACTTGATCAATTTTCTTATTGTCTTCGGCGTTTTCAAATTTGAGGGTGTTATACCTCTCTAGGCCCTCTTTACCAACAAGGTTAAGAAAAATGGCCACCTGACGTTTATTAGACGCTGACGTTAGACCAGCCGCCTCAATGTAAATCTCGAACGCTTCACGAAAAACGCGCCAATTTTCTGCCAAATTACCCGTCAAAACCAACGCATCTGGCTTATTATACTCCATGGTTCAACAAAAATTCAAAATTCAAATACACAATACACAATTTTTAAAATCCTATTAGACTGCGCCATGTTGCATCTCATAAGGAGTGTAGGTGAAAATATGTGTACTGAACTCGAGTGCTAAAAGCATACTGATTTTATTGTGTCTAAAATACCGATAGCGATACACGTGATAATACATCATAATTACGTAACTGTTATTGTAGATAGCAGGTAGGTAGGTATCATAGCTATTAGCTATGTAACAGATAGCTTATGTTAATACAACAATGAATGCAGTTAAAGATGTTGCTATTAAAACTGAAGGAGATATTCAAAAATTAAATATACCATATTATCAACCTAGAAATCCAGAATTAAAACGATTAACAAGTTCAGAAGAGACTTTTGGAACTCCAAAATATTCTAGTCAAAAATCAACAAGTAATTCTCCATTACCTAAAAATATTATAAACTTAGGTCCTATTGCGTCAAAATATTTAAAAACTGTAAGAGATACTAATTCTTTTGGAATATATCATAATGAGAAAGATGATATTTATATGATTGGAAAAGATATAACCCACACAGCATTTGGGAAATGATAATATTTTGTGAATATTTTAAAGTGCTTGTATAATGAATATTTGACTAACAATATTGTAAAAATATTTTTTTCTCATGGTAACAAAATATTGTACCATATGATTGTATAAAATATTGACTCAATATTTTTATAAAGTTTCCATGAAAATGTTTTTGGAACAATGTTCATACAATTTTTCTTAAATATTATTTGACAATATGTTATCAATAATGTGAAAAATTATTTTGTAAATATTTTGCAATGGTTGAAAAAAAATATTTTCAAGCTAATTATTATAAAACTTAATAAATATTTTATTAATATTTTAAAAAAATGGTCTATTAGCATATTATATTATTATATATAAGCATAATATTATAATATAGACTATATTATAAAAATTAAATAGTTATAGCTGCAGTATTACAATAGAATTATAATAAGCTATCGCTCGTATAGTTAGTTCATCATCATCAATTACATTTTTAGTGGTAATAGTACAATTTATTAATATTATGAATATTAATAATAATTAATATATTATTTAATATATATTATATAGGTACTATAGCTGAATTACCCGACGTTGCAGTTGCCCGGAAAAATTAATTCTGATTGTTCAACTCCTTATTTGGGTGTCATCAATGTCTTTTTAAGTGTAAATAATATTATATTTTAATGTATTATAGCCATCCCGATAGGCGTTGTCTGTGAGTTTCGCGGCAGTAAATTACTATCAGGTAGACAATCTACCTACGGTAGATCGCGGACCCCGCTGTGGTTTGTACGTATAAGTGTATAATTTAACTCTTAAGTATCAAAATTATACCAAGTTAGTCGTTTTTACTTAATTCAACCTACGACAAATTATTACGATAAATTAATACAATATCCTTACCTATCCTAACCGTTTTTAAATCCAATGAATAAAAAAAAAACAAATATATGTATTATGTATGTATAGGTATAGAAAAAGAAGAAAAATAAAATAAAAAAAAAAACAATGTGAAAACAGTGCAAAAAATCGGTCCACCGAAACCGTGATTCGAACCTGAGACATTCTGTATTAAAATGCATAATATTATAGTAGTGCAACAGCACCAACAGGCGTATCCACGTATCACTTAATTATTATTATTATTAAAACCCATAGCAACCACTTATAAACAACAATTAACATCGTAAATCTCAAAATGTTTGTTATTTGAGCACCTCCCCGGGTTGGACCTCCAATTTACCCTTTTTAAATTAACCTATCTTCTGCCCATAGGTCTAATCTATCTCTGTACCAAATTTCATCAAAATCGGTCCAGTCGTTTAGGAATGCATAAAGGACAGACTGACACACAAACATTCATTTTTATATATTATAATATATAGATTGTAATATAGATATAATAGTATATTATATATAGTTATGATTATGCATAATAATATAATACTATATTTTCTCATTTTTATATGCTCGTATTTCGCTATCAAAAATATAATTTTATTTTTACAGTTCAAATGTTTAAAGGTAGTCAAATAATTTATAATATACCTAGTAGCCAGTAGGTACCTACCTAATATTATAACATAAATTGATTATACATTTGTATTTATTATGGTGACAAGTGACAACACATACTAAATATGCATGGGCATGAGATGTCCTCTTTTTATTATTATAGTTAAGTACCTACCTACCGTAGAAGTGGGTTACTAGCTATATATTGGGACATGTAAACACATGTGCTTAACTTGGGACACAAAAATCGTTTTGGGTTATAACTTTTTTTGTTATTACGATACGATAATATTTGATTCGGATAATAATTAATCAACACGATATTTGTCAAGTCTCATGTTAGTCTCAATGTTTAAGTCAAGTTTATTATGTCTTAATTTATAAAAAGCAGTGCTTGAATTGGAAAAAAAATAGAAGGGGTATGCAAAAGTATAAACTATTTGTGCGTCCCCCCAACATTTAAATGTCTTATCAATTCTTGAAATTAGAAGGGGTACGCTAAAATATTTTAAAGTAAAATTTTAAAGTAGTTTACTATACAGCTGTAAGCTTAAACAGTATCAAATATCAATTCAATCACAATTTACTAATGTTTAACTCATAATTAACTTGACTTAAAATATTGAAACATTTTTATTCTCTACATCAGCATACCTATAAGATATTAAATCGAAAATCATCATTGTATCTATATCTAGTTTAAAATTTAGCTTCCTCAGCACATTTGCTTCACTATAGCCTAAGCCTACATTACAAATATGATTATATTATATTGTTTATATTATAATATGTAGTCACATATTAGTTATTACTACATAAAGTATATATTATTATATTATATTATTTTAGTCCTTATTCCCGATTTATAATTTTAGGAAATTGGAATGACGCGTTGTTATTTGTTATTGTCGTCGTTGTTGTTGACATTGCAGGCGGTTAGATTATACGTCGTGTACCTATAATATATTTTATACACCGCACGCACAGGATTATCCGGAACGCAACCAGTTGTTATCGCTTATTGTCCACTTTTACAAATCTATTTTTAGTTGAGAAGTGGAAAATTAGTGATTCCAGAGATTATACTATCAATACATTTTATTATAACAACATTAATCATTATAGTGTAAATAGTAAATACTAAATGCACAAGTCTGAACTCTGAAGCAGTTACTTATTGTCTACGCTCTGAACTCACAACTAGTCACAAGTAAACAATACTATACGTCAATACTCAATATACGGGAGAACGCGAACGCGACGACCACATAATAATATAGTGCCGCACATTTTGTAATTATAGTAAGTTTATTTTATTATATTATTATTATGTATCTAATATATTTCCCGATTATTGTATAGAATTAATTGGATTAAGTGTGTATTTAAAAAATTAGATACCTAGGTAACTGAATAATCTTTGACTGCTAATCCAATGCTTTACCAGAGAATAGATTAAATTTAATTAAATTTAATCATTTTGTGGCTTTACTATTGTCATAGGTATAATATTATTATATTATGTTAAACTAAAATGTACATATTTGGTTTCCATATTAAATATAACTTTTTAAGTTAGAAATAAGTATGAACTACGTAGGAATACCTACCTATAACTATTAGAAAGGCATTTATTTAGTCATTGTTAAAATCAAGAAATATGTAGGTAATTTTACTAATTTTGAAAAAGTATTTTATTTTCATCAATCCAAATTGAAATGTGTTACACACTATTACTGATACTATAAATTATAATACTATAGTATATACCTATTGGTATTACTTTATTATGTTTATAGTTGTCAGTTTATTATAATAAGTAGGTATAATAATGTGGAAGAGTAGGTATATGCGATGCTTCATAATAATATAAGATGTTTCTAATTTATATAGTATATTAGATTAGGTACATTTAGGGTACATAATAACTAGGTACATATAATTTGAATCAATTAAATATTTCCTTTTGATGGCATATTTATTGATTTAGCAATGAGTATATTATGTAGGTACTTAGTAAATATAAATTTCAAAAAGACAGATAATTTACCTAAGGTAAAGCTACATATTTATCAATATCATAAAACCTGGTTTTATTCAAAAATATTTCAGATAATTAGAATTTAGGTACTTAGGTACTTCTTAAAATAATACAATTTCCCTGATTCAAATTATAAAATTTTGAAAAATTGTTGAATGATAAATGAGCTAAATATGTTTTAATAAAAATTTACCTTTATATAATAGGTAATTGAAACTATAAATATGAGTTTTTAAAATTGTGATGAAAAGTATAGGCAATCATCAGAAATGTAATTTAATATAAAATATAGTAAAAACTATAGGTGTTGGATGTTAAATATTACATTTTAATAAATATTAATTTAGTCATAGGAAAGTATAAAACTGAAAATTTGTCATTGTATCTATACTCTATTCCAAATAAGATCAGCGTTCGGCGGCCGAGTTGTGCGCATGGGCGTGGCCGCTGCCGCTGGTAGAGTTGCAGTCGAACAACTACCAGGTGGGGGAAACCTGACCGCCTCCGGACGAGAACTGGTCGCCTCCGAAGGCTGATCTTATTTTGAATAGAGTATAGATGTAATTCAAAATAAGATAAATAATTTATAATAGTTCAGGTATATATTATATTATGTATTATACCTACTTAAAATTTGTATACTACAATTTTAATTGATAAGTATACTAATGTAAAATAATCAATATTTTGTAACTATGTTTAAATTAAAGAAATCCAGATTGGTGTATAGTACATTTTAAAATTATGACAAGTAAAAGAACTAAGAGCCGAAGAGTGAGGGAGGAACTAGAATTTTTATCTGATGTTGAAGACAATGAATCTTCTAATATATTAACAGATATAGAATCTGATATTGAAGACAATGAATCATCTAATTTATTAACAGATGCTGAATCTCATATTTTAACGTCTGTTGTTAATACAAATAACAGTGTAGAGCATATTATTACTGAAGTACTTAAAGAAGATAACTTAAATATAGAAAACATTTCATCAGAAGTATGCATTTATTGTACAATTTCATAAATTAATCATATTTGATGTTACTGTTATAAATTAATACTTATATCTGTGTATAAATATTTTTTTTTTTAATTTTATTCAACATGATAATTCTGTATTGGAAATGATGGATAATGCAGCTAAAGCATTTATTTCATTAGAACATGAAACAAAAAATAAACTTGCTGCATGGGCTTTGCAATATAATATTCCTCACAATGCTTTAAATGGATTGCTATTAGTTTTAAAAGAAATTCCTGGTTTGGAAAAACTTCCCAAAGATTCTCGAACTGTACTTTACACAAGACAAGTCAATGAAATTAATAACATAATAGTCTTGGAACCTGGTTTATATTTTCATTTTGGTTTAGCCTCTGTCATTAAAAGACATTTTTTGGTAAATCCAACTTCCAATGTAGACGTGGTAAAAATTGTGATTGGGATTGATGGATTACCCATCTCTAAAAGCAGCAATAGTGCATTTTGGCCAATATTAGGATATATTCGGCCTCATAATAATTCAGTGTTTCCAATTGGTATTTATTGGGGAAATGAAAAATCCTATGATTCTAATAAATACCTAGAAGAGTTTGTTTTTGAGGCAAACCATTTGTTGAGGAATGGTATAAATATTGATGGTACAGATATTAAAGTTATGATTGATGGATTTTCAATGGACGCTCCGGCGAAGTCGTTTATTTTAAGAATCAAAGGACATACTGGGTTTGATTCGTGTACTAGGTGTATTGAAGAAGGTGAATATATAAAAAATCGTACCTGTTTTCCATATACACCTAGTTGTTTAGTGAAAAGAACACATGACGATTACATCACGAAAAAGTATGAGGAACATCATGTTGGAAATACCGTATCAATTTTATCAGAATTGCCGGATATTGACCTAATATCTGCTACTAGCCTAGATTATATGCATTTGACTTGCTTAGGTATATGAATTTTATTTATTAACTGCAATGACTAATCGTAGATACCTACATTAGATATTTAAAATAATTACATCATTTTTAAGAGATTGGTATTTAAAATATTATATTTCTCAAGGCACTTCAGTGTTTTAATTTACCTTACTAAAAAACTGAGCTTTAAAAGCTTAAAACCTTTTATATTTGTTATATATATATTTTAAATATCTATGTTTAACAGACATAGATTATAGGCTGATCCAATACTTATATTATTATTAAATACCTATAATTATAGTATATTATAATAAAAATGTCTTTCATTGGGTTTAGGAGTAATGAAGAAATTAATTACTTTATGGATGCATAAAGAAACACTGAATGTCCGTTTACCAAGCTTGGCAATAAAACAACTATCAGGATTTTTACTTTTGATACGCTCCAATATACCTTGCGAGTTTGCCCGAAAACCCAGATCTTTGAGTGAATTATCAAGGTTTAAAGCTACTGAGTTAAGGCAGTTGTTGATTTACACTGGACAATTAGTGTTTAAGCCATTTTTAAGTGAAGATTGTTTCAATCATTTTATGACTCTAAATATTGCTATGGTTATTTTATTAAGTACAAATATGAATGAATATGTAAACTATGCTAGAAGTCTCTTACAGTATTTCGTTGAACATTTTGAAATACTTTATGGTAGACATTTAGTTTCCCACAATGTGCACGGTCTCCCTCATATTGCTGATGATTATGAACAATTTGGGCCTTTGGACAATATAAGTGCATTCCCCTTTGAGAATTTCATGAAAAATATTAAAAAAAAGTTGAGAAAACAAGAGTTACCGCTTCAACAGCTTGTAAAACGATTTCATGAAGAATTTAATCAGACTGAACAGTATAAAATAAGTCAGAAAAATATTCCTTCCAAACATCCTTATTTTAAAAAAGAGCATACAAATGGGCCACTATTAACACATTTGACTGGACCTCAATATAGTACAGTACATTTAAAAGAAATGGTTATTAAAACGTCAAATGCTGCTGACTGTTATGTCTTAACTACTATAAATGATGTAGTTAAAGTGATAAATATTGCACACATATAGATACCAAAATTTTAGTTTTGATTGGTAAAATATTTTTATCAAAAAAACCATATTACGAACAACCAATCAATTCGGAAGTTTTTAATATATATGAAGTAGACTATTTGTCAGAACATTTATTTATTATTCATTTTGAAGAACTTAAAAAAAAGTTATGCTAGTAGATACATTAGATAATAAAAAGATAGCTATACCTGTTATACATACAAATCATTGTTAATATTATACTAATTGAACGTAGACAATTTTTCAAAATATTAAATGATACTTAATAAGGTATAAAATGTACAATTTTCATTATAAGTTTATTTGTCCATCTTATATATCAACCTAGTTAATAATAATATACAAGATTCATTAGAAATAAACAATCTTTGTTTTGTATTACATTAATAATTATTAATTTTTATACATCCATATGTATATTATGTTATTATCCATCTATATTGTCATTGAATTAGTTGTTTCTGATGCAATTTAGCTATAATTAAGATATTATTTAACCATGGTGATAATTATAATTATTTTTCTTCTGTAGATTATACAAATATGTGGTCAATTGTTTGTTTTATTGAGGAAAATACGGTTGAATGTGTCCCGAATTTCTGGTTTAAAAATAACAAATGTGCATGGCCGAGTAGTAAAAATAAAATTAATTCTCGATTACTCGTCGAACGACGCACTGCTCCAAATCAAATTGATTTCAATTTCTTTCAAGCAAGATTGTTGACTACTGATATAAGTAATTAAACATTTATATTATATTAATATAGAAAATAATCCAATTGTATTAATTTTATATAAGGTAATTTAACCAAGGCATATAAAAAATTAAAACAAGCAGAGGTTACTTCTGAATTATCCACATTTGAAAATGACATCAATGAAGAAAATTCAAAATCATCAAGACATAATAATTCTAAACATATAAGTAATGTTAACAAAAAAAATATGATGAAAATAACTGCAAATAAAATGTCTTCAGTATTGAGAAGTCCGCCTAAATATATTCATAAAGCTGCAGGTAATATTTTATAGTTCTAAATATAAACACTTACTTTAATATATATATTTTTAATTATATTTTTATCATTGCAGAAGTAGGTGCTAATAACAAGAACAATTCTAAGACTACTAGTAATGTTGAAACTATGGTTATAGACCAAGTAACTGATGGACATTACATAGCTAAAGGTAATATTAAATAACAAGAAAAAAATATGATTCAAATTTAGCATGTATATAATAAAAATAATTTTTGTTATTCAACAAATATTTTAAAATGTAATATAATGAATAAGGTATAATTTGTAAAACATTTTGAACTTTAGATAATGGTAGTGATGAAGAGTTCATTGTAAATTCTGATGGTGATGACTATGCTCCACTTGGACAGCATTGCAACAGCTTTTATTCAGATTTAAAATCAAGTATTTATACATTTATTTTAATAAATAATACATAATTAACACCTTATCATACAATCATTTTCACTTCCTTCTGAATCAAAAATAATTTGTAATTATCTCATCCAGTAGGTATAAGTTATAATTTAATTTAAATATATAACAATAATATGATTACCTACATAATATCACTACAATTATATTTTACTAAGTTGTTGAAACAATATTATTTTAGATTTTGATGGAAATACAATTTGAACTTAAGTCTTATATTTATATATATAAACATTATATAATTATATATTTTTTCTTGTTTAATAGGTATTGAAAAAAATAAATCTCCCTTTAAATGGAATGTGAGTGCTAGTAATTCGCCTGTTATCGATAAACAAAAATCATCTAGTCCTATCCAAAAGTCATGGATTATAACGCCTGTAAAATTACAAACAACTGAAACCCCTACCATTCAGTGTAAAAAGAAATTGGTTTTTCATTCAGAACCAATTTTATTGAAAAACATTGGAGAATCCGTACTACCTAGAAATTACATTTTGCTTAAATAGTCAATGCATACAAATCATTATTAGTTTTCAAAAATATTTTTATTTTTATTTTAGAAATTACTAAAAAAAGCCATACTGTTCAATCAGGAAATGATCAATCAGGCCTTAATGTTCAGTCAGAAAAGACTTCTTCTGGAGGTATACATTATTTTCAAATTTATGTTATTTAAATATATTTATATAATCTTTAATATATTAATATAAATACTATTTACTATTGGTTAATATTTTAGATTTGATAAACAAATTATATCGCACTGTAGTTTCCTTAAAGTATGATGTTAAGGAAATTCTAATAAAATTTTATCGTATCGAAAATAAAGCAACTGATAATGAGGCACGTCTAATTATGACTCAAGAATTACGTGGTAATGAACAAGAAGATGCAATTCTATGGAATTTCCCAATTACTTCATTAGACGAGGTTGCATTGTTCGAAGAAAAACTATTGGATAGATCATTTCGGTTGAAAATGGTAGTTATTTTTTTAATTAATTTTTATTATTTTATCAATAAGTATCTACATTCATTCGTAATAAATTGTTTTGTTTTAGGTAAAAGATCTTAGTTTAATGGTTCGCAATTCTGTATCAGAGACTGTACGTCAAATTTGTTGGACAAAAAAAGAAACTATCATTTTCTATTTTAAACTCATGCACAGTTATATTTGGTAAGAAACATACAATTTTGACTAAACTAAATATATAAAATATTATATACATCTAAATTATGAAATATATTTCAATACAAAATAGCTTTTATAATTAAATAAAAATGTTAATAACATAGATTTAAATGTTGTACTCAAATTAAATTAAATTAATTTTTAACTACAATAAATTATAGTAATCAAAATTTCTTGATTTTCAAATGCTTTAAACAAAAAGAAAATTGTGGCTTCAATATTTTTTAATTTCTTTAAGTAAGACTTAAGAAAATCCTTATTTTGATAAATTTTCAAAAATCTTGAATTCTAGAAAAAAAAGCAAATTAATTTTTGAATTTAAAATCTTTTACAATGCC